CTCTGCAAGGGACTACGAGCAGACGCTTTAATACTCAACCATGGAGAAATCAGAAGCTAAAGGTCGATATGATGAAGAAACAAAGTCAACCCACTCAGGAAAGTCTTCAGGAAAATTTACTGTTAGATCAGAAGCAACACGTTCCAGTAGGTCATCAGCATCCTCACGAGCCAGCATGGCGGCAGCACGAGCACAAGCAGAAGCTCAAGCAGCGAAAGCCAGATTAGCCTACGCTGAACAGGAAATGACGATCAAAGTAGAAAAAGCCCGTCTAGAAGCAACTCTTGACATAATCAATCTCCAAAAAGAAGCTGACTTAGCCACGGCTAAAGCTGAGGTAATGGAGTCAGCAGCAGCTCAGTTTGACACAGCTGATTCAAAGGAAGAATTAAGATTTCTGCCTCTCCAAACTACTTCGGAACAAAAGGTGAGTGAATACATAAATAAACACAGTTACACTGACCTGGCTGGGGACAATAAAGAGACATTTCAAGGGGATTATGAGACATACCGGAACGAAAGATGTAAACAGCCAATAGTGTATACACCTTTTGTCCCCAAACAAGAACCAATGCAATACCAGTCAGTGCCACAGGATGGGGCCAGGCAACCATCAAAAACAGATCTAATTCCAAAAACCCTCCACAACATATTACAACCACAGCAGGAACAAAGCCCAAATAAAAATGCTGAAACCACAACAAGTGATCTTGCCAGATTTTTAGCCAAAAGTCAACTAGTAACTGGAGGACTATCTAAATTTGATGACATGCCAGAAAACTATCTCAGCTGGAAAGCCACATTTGAGCATACCATCAGGGACCTCAGTCTTACAGCCAGTGAAGAAATGAATCTACTCATTAAATGGCTAGGCCCAGAGTATTCTGAACACGCTAAAAGACTAAAAGCAGTTAACATAAGGAATCCACCTGCTGGTTTGCACATGATATGGCAGAGACTGGAAGAGTGTTACGGCTCACCAGAAGCAATTGAAAACTCTCTGTTTGTCAGAATACAAAACTTCCCAAAGCTCTCCAGCAAAGAACCACACAAGCTACGTGACCTGGCAGATCTATTGTGTGAACTCCAAGCTGCAAAGCTAGATGGCTATTTAGCTGGGCTTAGTTACCTTGATACTAGCAGAGGAGTAGGCCCAATAGTGGAGAAGTTGCCATTTCATCTTCAAGAAAAATGGACAATGGTAGGATCAAAGTTTAAAGAGGACCACAATGTTAGCTTTCCACCATTCTCAGTTTTCGTTGACTTTGTGAAAGGTCAGGCCAAAGCAAGAAATGACCCCAGCTTCACTACAACATTCAACACAACTACTTTATCATATTCAAATAACACTTCCAGCTACAGAAAAGGAAAACCAACTGGTAACTACAGCCAAAAGCCATCAGTCACAGTGCACAAGACAAACATATCATCAGAAGGATTGAGGACAAGAGAAACAGGTGAAGACATTCAAAAACAATGTCCCATTCATCACAAACCACACTCACTTAGAAGATGCAGGGGTTTCCGAATGATGCTACTTGAAGACAGGAAAAAGCTGCTGAAAGATAATAACATCTGCTACCGCTGCCTTGCCTCTACCAACCACCAAGCCAGAGACTGTAATACTACAATTATGTGCGAAGAGTGCAACAGTGAGAAACATCTGGCAGCTCTTCACCCTGGCCCAGCAACACAAATGTTTAAGCCTCCCTTATCCCCTAAGAAGCAGGGCGGGGAGCAAGCAAATCCAACAGACTCAGACGTTACTGCAACATGTACAGAGGTATGTGGAAATGCATTTACAGGAAAATCCTGTTCAAAGATTTGCTTGGTACAAGTCTATCCCAAAGGTCAGCGAGACAACATCAAACGAATGTATGCAATAATTGATGATCAAAGAAACCAATCGCTTGCTAAGACTGAGTTTTTCAATATATTTGGTATAAAAAGCCAAAGTGAACCATACACACTGAAAACGTGCAGTGGTGTAACACAAGTGACTGGTAGAAGGGCATGTGACTACATGGTCCAGTCGTTAGATGAAAAAATTAGTTTTCCTCTCCCTACACTGATAGAGTGCAATGCCATCCCCAACAATAGGGAAGAGATACCCACTGCAGAAGCTGCTTCACACCACCGCCACCTGAAAGCAATAGCTGCTGAAATCCCACCTCTTGATCCACGTGCAGATATACTGTTACTGATTGGACGAAATCTTCTAAGAGTTCACAAAGTGAGGGATCAAATTAATGGCAAACACAATGACCCCTTCGCACAAAAGCTGGACCTGGGCTGGGTTATCATTGGTGATATGTGTCTTGGCAAAGCTCACAAGCCAGATGAAGTGAATGCTCTGAAAACACACATATTGGACAATGGTCGTCCAAGCTATCTCACTCCCTGTGATAATCACTTCAGTGTAAAGGAGGACTTCAGTCTGAGCCAAGCCAAAGCCATTCCCCACCAACTGCCATCCAGTTATTTACAGCAAAGGCCCACAGCTGAGAATTTAGGAGAGACTGTGTTTTGTCGTACCAAAAAAGACAATCAGCTATCTCATTCTGCCGAAGACAGGATCTTTCTGAAGAAGATGGAAGGATTCTTCAAGACGAAACTAACAGCTGGGTGGCACCACTCCCATTTCGAACTCCCAGACGCAAACTCCCTGAAAATTGGTCATACGCCCACCAGCGCCTCATGTCCCTACGACGTACGCTTGACAAGAAACCCGAAATGCAAGCACACTTTGTTGAATTCATGCAGAAAGTGTTAGACAACCAACATGCAGAGCTTGCACCACGACGCAACAAAGACAAAGAAACCTGGTATCTCCCGATATTTGGTGTATACCATCCGCAAAAGCCAGGGAAGATACGCATCGTGTTTGATTCAAGTGCACGGTTCGATGGAGTGTCCCTCAACGACATACTGCTTTCTGGCCCAGACCTAAACAACACACTTTTAGGTGTGCTGCTTCGCTTCAGGAGAGAACCGGTCGCCATCACAGCTGACATCGAACAAATGTTCTACTGCTTTGTAGTCCAGGAAGATCACAGAGATTACCTTCGCTTCCTGTGGTATGAAGATAATGACCTTATCAAAGGGAACAGCCCCTCCCCAGCAGTGGCAATCTATGGGCTTAGGATGGCAGCAAGGGAAGCAGAAAACGAATATGGAACCGATGCACGGAACTTCATAGAGCAAGATTTCTACGTCGATGATGCTTTAAAGTCTTTCCCAACTGAAGCTGAAGCCATTGATGTCCTACAAAGAGCTCAGAAAATGCTTGCCCTCTCTAATCTGCGTCTTCATAAGATTGCTTCCAACAGAGTGCAAGTGGTAAATGCATTCCCCCCCGAGGATAGGGCCAAAGATATCAAAGATCTGGATTTGACAACTGATGAAATTCCGGTCCAACGCAGCTTAGGGGTGAGTTGGAACCCTACATCAGACACATTTACATTCCATGTTCCCAAGAGCAGAAGCCCTACACTCGACGTGGTGTGCTTTCTACAATAAACAGCTTGTTTGATCCTCTTGGTTTGCTTGCGCCTATTACAATCAAAGGCCGGCTTCTTCTCAGAGAGCTCTCTAGCAGCAACCCTGATTGGGACAGTCCCTTACCTCAAGACATGTATGACAACTGGAGAAGATGGCGCGACTCATTACAGAGTCTCACAAGTTTACACATTCCTCATACCTATGTCATGTTCTCCATCTCACAAGCCATTTTCGTCGAACTTTGTGTTTTTTCAGATGCTTCAGTGAAAGCCATTGCTGCGGTAGCTTACCTGAAGGTCACACATGAAAATGGACACATTGAAGTTGGATTCGTCATGGGTAAGGCCAAATTGGCTCCCACTCCAGAGCTCACTGTTCCTCGACTCGAGCTTTGTGCTGCAGTACTAGCTGTGGAGATGTCGGAGCTCCTCACAGAAGAACTGAATACCAAGATCGACAGAACAACATTTTACACTGACAGTAAAGTAGTTTTAGGATACATCAACAATCAACACAGAAGGTTTCATGTATACGTGAACAATCGTGTACAGAGGATCAAGCAGTCTTCACTACCAGATCAATGGAGATATGTCCAAACAGAGCATAACCCTGCTGATCATGGCTCTCGGTCTGTAGCTGCAGAGAAACTTGCTAGTACTTCATGGTTGTATGGCCCAACATTTCTTCTCAACCACGAGAGCCTCTTTCCAGACAAAGGTCCATTTGAACTTGTTGATCCAGAATCAGATCCTGAAATCAGACACAATGTAACTGTGCTTAAGACCACAACTGCTCCAGGTGGTTTAGGTTCATTGCGCTTTGAGCGGTTCTCAAAGTGGACTTCCCTCATAAAAGCAGTGGCCTACCTCAAACACATTGCACACAGCTACAAGTCCAAAGATGGTAGCAGCTGCAGCGGCTGGCACATGTGTAAAGCAAGCCTCACAGATGAAGCTTTAACTCAAGCAGAACACGTAATCATCAGATGTGTCCAGCAAGAAGTCTATACAGAGGAGATAAAATGCATCATGGCAAAACGAGCCATACCACACAGCAGTTCCCTTCACAAACTTAATCCAATCATCGATGACAAAAACTTACTGCGAGTAGGAGGGCGACTAACAGAGTCCAACTTGCCAAGTTATGAAACCAACCCTCTTCTGATACCAGGAAAGCATCACACTGGTACGCTTCTCATTCGACATCACCATGAAACTGTCCAGCACCAAGGGAGACACTTCACTGAGGGAGCTGTGAGAGCAAGTGGACTATGGATAGTTGGAGCTAAGAGATCCATAGGCAGTGTAATCCACAAATGTGTCACCTGCCGAAAGCTTCGAGGTAGGACAGAGCAGCAAATTATGGCAGATTTGCCTGCCGAACGCTTACAAATTGATCCTCCTTTTTCTTATGTTGGCCTTGATGTATTTGGACCATGGGAGGTTTCAACACGCCGCACTAAAGGCGGTCAAGCTAACAGTAAGAGATAGGCAGTCCTGTTTACTTGCATGTGTACAAGGGCCGTCCATATTGAAGTGATTGAAGCTCTGAGCTCGTCCAGTTTCATTAATGCCCTTCGTAGATTTTTTGCAATCAGAGGCCCTGCTAAACAGCTTAGATCAGACTGCGGAACAAACTTCATTGGTGCCTCAAAGGAGTTGAGGCTAGATCCTCCAAACCCCAAAGAAACCACTCTGGACGACTACCTGCGCAAACAAAGGTGTTCTTGGGTGTTCAATGCGCCCCACTCATCTCATATGGGAGGCACCTGGGAGCGTATGATAGGTATCTCCCGACGCATCCTAGACTCAATGCTCCTACAAGCAGGAAACCCTACTCTAACTCATGAGGTCCTGGTGACATTGATGGCTGAGGTCATGGCTATTATCAATGCAAGGCCCTTGGTACCTGTTTCCTCATACCCGGAAGCCCCTTTAATCCTAACACCCTCAGCTCTGCTTACCCAGAAGTTTAACCCAATCCAAACTCCACCTGGGGACTTCAAAAAAGCCGACATGTACAAAAATCAATGGAAAAGAGTTCAAACCCTCGCTGACACATTCTGGACCAGATGGCAGAAAGAATACCTCCACATGCTCCAAAGTCGTCAAAAATGGCAGCGCAACAAACCAAATATAAAAGAAGGAGACATTGTCCTTCTGAAGGACAAGCAACTAAAAAGAAATTAATGGCTTATGGGAGTCATCACGAAGACCCTTCCAAGCAAAGACGGAGTTGTTAGGAAGATGGAAGTGAAAGTTGCCCGTGGCAAGACTGCTAAGACTTTCCTTAGACCTATTTCAGACTGTATTCTGCTTTTATCTTCAAGAGATTAGTTTATATTGGCATTCTTAAAATAATGCCAGGCGGGGAGTGTGCTGGAGCTTTTTTTTTATGTTGTTGTTTCTCCAGGCCCTTAGGGGGCGCATGTTTGCACAGTTCGCTAGGTTGAGCCAGTGGATGAGTAGAAGGTGTGTTACAGGAAGTTACTGCCATGAGTCAGGCATGAGTATGGTTTGGATTTCATCTGCATCCATCCGCTCCTTTCCATCCCTTTGAGTGGCAATATGAGTAAGAGACATAATTGTTTATGGTTGCTAGATACTATATATTTGATTATTTTTGTAAATTTAAGACATTTGATATGTTGTTTGCTTTAATACGCTGGAGGTAGATTAGAGTGGATGTTATGCTACAGCTAAGTTTAAGTTACCATTTAAATGCATGTTTTACACAAAGAAAACGTTTATTTTGTTCATTCTGATGTTTTGTTTGTGTAGTAATATTTTTATGTATTCTGTATCGTTTCAGTTTCACACTTTTTTGCATTAAATCCTGTTCAAATACAACACACGCATGTTCCTTGGAGGAAGTGATGCAGGAAAGAGTTTAGCTGGCTGTGAATCTCAATAGAGGACACGAGGTCACATTGGGTGCAACAGTACACTTTGGTTTTGTTTGCTGTGGAACAATTTAAATACTAATGACAGCAAGGTAAGTTTTTAAAACAAGGAACTAATCAATCCCTTACTATTAGGTGACAGTATTGCCCACAATATTTAAGAGATTGATATCAGAAAAGTTTCCATTTAACAGCCAAACAGGACAAACGTCAGTCCTGTCTAGACCTTTTAATCACAAGATCTGAGTCGGTGCTTGGAACAAACAAAACTAAAGTGGTGGGCACAATCGATACCCACCATCTCCAGCAGTTTCACAGCAGGAAACTCACCATGCCTGTTCCTATGGACGTACTGATACTAGGAGTGATTAGTGTCCACACACTGACAGCAGTCAGCACACATTGGCAGAAGTGGACAGGAGCATGGTGGACTTCTAAAATATGGCCTGGAGGAAAGCCAAGTGTTGCCATGGTGACAGAGTTGGAAAGGAAATCTCTTTGTATTGTTGCCAGGGCAACGGCTGTGGAAGGGTAGGGATGGACAGAAGAATAGATGGTAAGGAAGGACTTGCAAGAGGAGGATAAAGAAAAAAGTCGAGGTTAGAGATAATAGAGGTAGGTGAGGAAGCGGATGAGACAATGCTTCCTTTTAGACTCAGATGTATGAGCTGATCCTCGCCACACTCCCATATCTGACTTGTTTATATTTGTGATTGTAAGCTGTGTGGGTGAATTTACAGTTTGCTCTAACTTTATCTCAAACAAAGTTACTCAGCAGCTTCTTTCATACGGTAGCTGAGATGGGGCTTAGTAAGTCAGTGGTTGGTTCACCTGCACTCTGGGTAAAGCTCTGGTGCAGCAGTCCCATGTTTTTAAACAGAGCTACTCTTTTCCTATAGAGCCAATCCTGTTTTCTTTTTCTACCCTCCAATTTCTTCATTCATCATCTACTAATCTCTCTCCTTTTCTCTTTCTCAGTTGTTTTCCTCAGAAATTGAGTAAGAGATACAGTATCTGAGTTCTGAATTGTGCATTTGAAACATTATTGAAGTCATTTTGGTAACTTATAGATCGCTTTACCCCAGGGCTCCAGTAATTCCTACTGTGCTTGAATTGATTGCATATATCTAACTCGAAGGAATAATGTTGCAGAAGTTTCCCTTTTTGATTTATTATTAGTGTAAAGCAGAAAAAATAAAAAATAAAGAGCATTAGATCAGTTTTATCCTCATAAAAAATGTGATGAATAATAAATAATCTTACAATTTTGGGATGTAGAAAAAGTGCAGGGTTTTAGATACACTTGATGGAAAGAAAGGAATAATTGTATTAACATTTCGAAATAATGCTGGCAAAGCAACAACCACAATCTTTTATGTACATTATTTGGACTTCATGTGAAAGACCAACAAAGAGCAAAGCATTACTGTTATCTGGAAAACATATACATGGTTTTTAAACTTTTTTTTAATTGACAAGAAACCCAAAAGGTGTGATGTATCTTCTCACTGGATATGCTGGTGAAGATTCTCAGTCATCCAGGTCATAGTCATTCCATAAAAGTAAAAAAAATAATCCACTGGACTTTGTTTCCAAGTTTGAAGACATTTCGCTTCCCATCCAGGACATTTTTTCAATTCAAAATGTCAGATATAGCGTTGAGTTCAAGGCTTTATAGAGTGGACCAAAGCAAATATTTGTTTTGGCTTAGAAACATGCAAATTGAACCTGACGAGTGGGTCCGCCTCTTTGGAATGGGGGTCTTTTAATTTCTTTGTTAGCCTGTTATACCCGAAACCTGTCTATGTCTCTGAAGGGGGGATAATTTTCACGGGATCTCCAATTACCCTGATAAAAATAAAATTCCAAAACAACCAATAACCTTAATAAGAAAACTAATTAGTAAAAAAGACCACACCTGAGCGTAAACTGTTTTATGAAGTCCTCAAGATGTAGCTCTATTTGAACAGAACCCTAACGTTCTATGGTCCTGAATGTCTACAGAGATCCGAAGGATGTTTGATATTATTTAAAATAAACAATTAGTCATGCACTTCCTGGATCTTGCCTCTATGGAAGAGCAACAAAAAGAATATCACCATTAAAAAGTTAGATGCTGAGTTTCATTTGTGTAAGAGACAAAGCAAACCCTTAGAAGAGGATACTCTGGTCAGTTGAAACCAGAACTTACTGGTCTGTATGCAAAACCCTGTCTGATTGAAAATTGCTTAGTCTGTCTGTATTGGAAATTACAGCATCTATAAATAATTGAAGGAGTAGAGCTGAACTTTTGAAATGTTTATTACAATTTTTCATTTTATACTTTAACAATTTTCTGTTACAGAAAATGCTGCAAAATACATTAAAGCTTTTGGCTCTGGCTGCGGAGGAAGGACAGAACCTGGGGGAATAACACCTAACCCCCAGATAACAGTTGCAGGGAATAACATCTTTCAGCTGCAGGGGGTGACAGGGAGACGTCCCTGTCACTGCCCCGCCACCAGGAGACGTTCCAGGATTAAAGGGGCGAAACGTTGGTGAATGGTGGTTCCTGGCTGATGACCCTGCAGCTGACCCATGGGCACCGGAGGAGGTGCGACAGGCAGAAATGCCAAGCAGGATTTAACACCCTCCTGTATTATACTGAAGTTCTGGGAAACCCAGTGGCTACTGTGAATAGGGCAGTTGGAGTCCAGGGAAGACTGGAGGACATCCAGGAAAGACTGGATGACGGCAGGGAAAGACCGCACGGGGAGTGGGCGGCTAGTAACCCAACCCACCGGTCTCTCACCAGAGAGACACCCAACTCTGACTACGAAGAACAAAAAGAAGCAACAACCCGTGGGCCCTCCGAGAGGCGGGATGAAAGATGGGCCCAACAGGATGGACTACATGGTAACGACGGCAATGGAAAAGGATAACGAGACACCCAGAACAGCAGGAAATGAGGAGAAGGTCCTCCGAAAGTGTGCATGTGGATGGGAGAAAGTGACCACGTTTAGGGGCGTACGGATCCACCAGGGGAAAGCAAAGTGTGGACAGAATGGCCAACAGCAACCTTGCACTGCAACAGCAGGTGAGACAAGAGGGACCAAAAGCCAGGGCAAAAACCACAGAGCCAATGGACCCAATGTTGCTGAAGGCAGGAGGATGACAGGGGAAGAAGGCCCACTGGTGGAGAACGAGTCCCCACGTGAGCACGAAGACCAAGTCCTCACCACACCAGACAGAACAGAGCCAATTGCAGAGACCAAGAAACCCGCCAGAAAGAACAAGATCAAGTGGCCAAAGTCTAGTGAAGCAGAGGCATGGCGTGCACTGGACACATACCTGATCAAGACCCTACAGGAGTCACTGCAAGGAGGGGCAGAGGCCAAGCTGAATCGGATTGGGGACATCATATACCAGACCTGCAAGGACAGGTTTGGAGAGATCGTTTCCAGACAGAGGTCCATCCAAAGAGAGAAGGGAAGGAGAGAGAAGGAAATCCTCCAGCTGGTACAAAGGCGTCGCCAACTCCGGAAAAGCTGGAGAAAGGCCACTCTTGTGGAGAAAGAAGGACTGAAAGCCCTATGGGAAGAGGTCAGGAAAAGACTAGCCTTGCTTCGCAGAGCTGAGCGCATCCGAAAACGCAGCAAGCGGAAGCAGAAAGAGAGAGCCAGCTTCTTCAAGGATCCCTTCAAGCATGCCAGACAGCTGCTGGAGGAAAAGAAGACTGGCAAGCTTGAAACTACCAGGGAGCAATTGGAACAGCATGTCAGAAAGCAGTACAGCGATCCACAAAGGAATGTCCCCTTAGGAACACCAGGATATTTACTGCAGCCTGCACAACCAACTGTTGAGTTTAACACCATGCCTCCCAAGCTCAGTGAGGTTAGGCAAGTTGTGGAGAAAGCGAGGTCTTCTTCTGCACCAGGCCCCAATGGTGTCCCCTACAAGCTCTATAAGAACTGCCCTAAGGTACTAGAGCTGCTATGGTACCTAATGAGAACTGCCTGGAAAAAACAACTCATTCCAGCAGAGTGGCAAAGAGCAGTAGCGGTTTTCATTCCCAAGGAAACAAACTCCAAGGACATAGGGCAGTTCCGTAACATCGCCCTTCTAAACATAGAGGGAAAGATCTTTTTCTCGGTGCTAGCCAGAAGGATGACGACCTACCTGCTCCAGAACAAATACATCGACACCAACTGTCAGAAGGCAGGGGTGCCAGGGTTCCCAGGATGTGTGGAGCACTCCACAATGATCTGGGACCAGATCCAGAGGGCTAAGCGCGACAAGACTGACCTGCATGTCGTCTGGCTTGACCTGGCCAATGCATATGGATCTGTCCCACACCAGCTGATCATCTACGCCATGGAGTTCTTCCACATGCCTGCTTGCATCAGAAGCATGGTAAAAAGCTATTTTAACAACCTGCAAATGTGCTTCTCTGCCCTTGACTTCACTACTGGATGGCAGCGGCTTGAAGTCGGAATAGCGATGGGGTGTGCCATTTCACCTACACTGTTTGTAGCAGCGTTTGAAATAATCCTCATCGGTGCAAGGCAGATGGCAGGAGGAATAAAACTGCCAACTGGCCAGAGGCTCCCCCCGCTAAGGAGCTACATGGACGACGTCACCACCCTCCTTCAGACAGCACCATGTACAGCAAGACTGCTGAGGAGGATTGATGAGCTGATGTCATGGGCAAGGATGAAGATCAAGCCCTCCAAGTCCCGTAGCCTGTCACTCAGGAGAGGTGTCCGGAACGACAGCACCACCTTCGTCGTCGGGGGAGAGAAGATCCCACTCCTTGCAGAGCAGCCCATCAAAAGCCTTGGGAGGCAGTACACTGCCGAGCTTTCTGACAAGCAAATGGGGAAAACCGTTATGAAGCAGCTCTCTGATGGCTTGACGAGAATTGACCAAAGCCAACTACCGGGCAAATACAAGGTCTGGTGTTACCAATTTACACTCTACCAGAGACTGCTGTGGCCCCTGAAAATGAGTGAGATCCCCTCATCAACCGTGAGTAGGATGGATGGGAAAGCCAATTCATTTATCCGAAAGTGGTTGGGGCTGCCACGGTGCCTCTCTGAAGCTGGCCTATTTGGGAGGAACATGCTCCAGCTACCCCTAAGATCGCTACAGCTGGGCTACATGCAAGAAAAGACCAGGTTGGTGCTCGAGCTACGGGAGTCCACAGATGAGCTGGTTAGGAATGCTAATGCCAGGGTCCTGACTGGCCGCAAGTGGAACGCCCAGACCGAGGTCGACCAAGCGGTAAGCCGGCTGCAGCACAAGGAGATTGTAGGCAGGGTGCAGGTAGGAAGAGCAGGCCTAGGATGGGGAGAAGCACCACGCTTCTGGTCCAAGGCCCAACACAAGGAAAGAAAGGAAATGGTGGTGGCGGAGGTGATGAGGATGGAGGAAGACCGCTATAAGATCAAGGCTGTGTCTCAGGGACGACAAGGAAGCTGGACAACCTGGGAGGGAATCTCAACCAGGAACATCAGTTGGTCAGACTTGTGGAAGATCCCACAGGCAAGACTTAGCTTCCTTATCCGCTCAACATATGACACGCTTCCCTGTCCTCGGAACCTTCATCAGTGGTTCGGAAACGAGGAATGTTGTGCACTCTGCAATGCTCCCAACGCAAGCCTCCAGCACATCTTGTCAGGCTGCAAAGTGGCCCTCTCACAGGGCCGCTATAGATGGCGCCACGACCAGGTCTTGAGAAAGCTAGCCGAAGTGCTGGAGGAGCGCAGAAAGGGTAGTAGAACACCATCGCCAGCAGAGGACCCCACCATCTTTGTCGCGGAAGGAGGAAGCAGAAGCTTCAAGCAAAGAGAAACCTCAAGGCCCTTCACTACTGGCCAGGAGTGGAGCATGAAGGTTGACCTGGACAGGAAGCTTCAGTTTCCCACAGAAATCACCACCACATCTCTCCGACCAGACATTGTGGCGTGGTCCATAAAGGCAAGAGCGGTAGCCCTCATTGAGCTCACTGTGCCAATGGAGGAAGGGATCGAAGCTGCCTTTGAGCGAAAAAAGGCCAAGTATTCAGAGCTGGCTGCAGAGTGCCGGGAGGCGGGCTGGAAGACTACCATCTACCCAGTAGAGGTCGGATGCCGAGGCTTCACAGGGTTGTCGACCATACGCCTCCTGAAAGACGTGGGAGTCAGGGGAGGAAGGCTGAGGAAGGCAACAAAGGAACTGGCTGAGGAGGCGGAGAAAGGGAGCTTTTGGCTCTGGCTGCGGAGGAAGGACAGAACCTGGGGGAATAACACCTAACCCCCAGATAACAGTTGCAGGGAATAACATCTTTCAGCTGCAGGGGGTGACAGGGAGACGTCCCTGTCACTGCCCCGCCACCAGGAGACGTTCCAGGATTAAAGGGGCGAAACGTTGGTGAATGGTGGTTCCTGGCTGATGACCCTGCAGCTGACCCATGGGCACCGGAGGAGGTGCGACATCCTGAATCCTGAAACAGCGACATCTGAAACAGTAGACTTTCAGGATACTGAAAGTCTACTGTTGAAACGTAAAATATGAAGACATTAAAAGAGAGCCATTGCTATCCTCTGTGCATGTTTACATAAAGAAAATAAAGGTTTCAGTTGATCAAATCCCACCTCATACAGTATAAGAACCTTGAAAGAACTACACAGGACACACCAGATTAAAACTTCTGAAAGTGGAACAATTATTGAAAAAAAAAAAGATAGAAAAAAGATGTTGTGGGAGTTCCTCAGTCCACATGTGCTTAGTGGCTCTGGAAAAGGCTTACAATAAGTGGGGGTTGCTGCTGGAGAATGAGGCGGCAAGGATGATTTGAAGAGCTCTCTGGTAATGGTAGAAACACAACAAGATTTCATGCTCTTCTGCTCTACTTCTCTCCAATTCTGTGTGTGGTGTTCATGGACAGGATCTCAAGGCCTATAGTTACTGTACAAAGTGCAAGTGAAGATCCTCAGTCATCCAAGTCATGGTCATTGCAAAAATAAAAAAAAAAGAATAAAAAAAAACACTGGACTTTGTTTTTTAAGTTTGATGATGTTTGCTGGATGGGAAGCGAAACATCTTCAAACTTGGAAAACAAAGTCCAGTAGTTTGTTTTTTAACTTTATTTAAAAAGTTTTTGGTATAGTTACAAAGAGCAGGGGTTTTCAAACTTTGACCTCTGGACCCACTGTCCTGCATGTTTTAGATGTGTCTCTGCTCCAGCAAACCGCCATCCAATGATTCCACTCAGGGAATCAGGGACCTGATAATCTCCCATTTAAGTGTGTTTAGGCAGGGAAATAGCTAAAACATGCTCAGAACTGATATAGAGAAGGGTGTCTGTTTGGGATCTCTCTCTTTTTTTGTGAATTATGTTTTTCTATCCACTCCTTCAGGCCTCAACCAAGGCTGGTTGTTTAGGTTATTGGTTAATCCACCAAATGACACTTGCCTTCATATCAAGTTTTTAGCCAATCACAGCAGCTGTGATGTATCAAATTCTTGATTTGATATGTCTGTCAAAAAGCTGAACAGAAGGACCCAATATTCAGGTGAGACAGATGGTCATTGCTTAAAAAGTGTTTATTTACAGTAGACTAAAAGTGCAGAGCTGTGGATCTACAGAGGCTGCGGCTGAGCACCGCCCATCACTGTATACTCTAGTGGAGAAAAACACAGGTAAGTGACCATGATAATCCAACAGAGGATGATTATTTATGTCAGTAACTTACCTGGTTTGACAGTTCAGTGCATCTCCATAGAATGCGGTAGGATCCAGGAGTCTGAGCCAGGTCAGTGAAACAGATCAAAACAGGAAGGCTCAGAGGTCCAGGAGTCCGTAGCCCGATCAAGGATTCAGAACAGGAACAGGCTGGTTCAGGTTTTCAGGAGTCCAACAGAGAGTTGAGGCATACCGTTCAGATGGGACCTGGCACGCTCAGTGGTAGAGCTGGAACAGGGCAGGATATCAGGAACTCTACGGAACCCTAAAAACTCGCTCCCTCCACTGATCCAAGACAGGAACAGGCACACTCAGTGGATAAGAGACAGGACATGATCAGGAAAACAGGAACACTAAAAAACACTAAAAAATCTCTCTAACTACTGGCCCCCAAGGACGAGAACATGAACCATGGCATGAGTAATTGTAATTGGTAATTCTGAACCGGGCAGTTCGGCGGGTGAAAGAAATGAGCAATTATGCCAGCTCTCAAAGCCATGATAAATGACAATTGCATTTATTGGCTTATGGCACGATGTATTTTCAGGAGTTTGTGAATTCAGAAATCTCCTAGGCCAGAGTTCTTAACCTGAAAAAGGTGGACTGGGTTGGGGCACACTCTCTACCTTTAGGAGTTTACGTACCTTGGGGTGTCTTGTGTCTGATGATGGTAGAACACGACAGGAGATGGACAGGATTATGGCTTTAACTAGTATTTTTTTACCCTTTTATGGTCTGTAAAGAAAGACTTGGTCAAAAAAAGAGTTCCTAATTTACATTCTACATGTCAGTCCTCACCTATTGTCATTAGAGAGAAACCAGGAGAAGGATTGTGGATATAAGGAGCCAAAAGGAGATTTCTCTATATGTTGGGCAGATTCAAATCAGAAGCTTCTCGCATCTGCTCTGGATGCTTCCTTAATATCTTTTTTTCAGGTTTTCCAAAAGCTTTCTATATGCAGAGGAGACAATGGGAGATAGCATGAACTTGGTCCAACTCAAACTCGATTAAAAAATTCCACTAAAAAAATACTCATGGGCAGTTTTTCAACAAGATGCTGTTGGTGATGATAGCTGTTGATGAGAAGAATCTTATTTGACCATAGCAGGGTGTCTGAGCTTCCCTCCTGTGCCTTTTGTCCCCTCTACCAAATCTCAGATAAAGAGCAGACAAGGGATGGATGGCTGGATAGATGGATGGATGAAAAAAATATCTCATCTTCACCACCTGTCAAATAGTAAGGGTATAACAGAAACATAAGCTTACCACGACTTTATTAGCATTTCATGTTGAGAATATTTTAACATCCTACTTCACATCCATACTAAGAGCAATTTATTCTATTTCTGGTGCAAAATGAGCTTTAAGTTAAATGCACAGCAGGAAATCCCTAAAAAGAGAAATCAACAAGTGCTAACCTGGTCTTAATTGGTATTCCAGTCGAGAAGACAGAATATTTAAATGTCAGTAAACTCAGTTTTCTCACCCGGGAGTCATCCAGAGATTGTGGAGTAGATACCCTGGAGGAGCCAGGGGGTGTCACATAGCTGCAAGTCACAACAATCAACTAAATTCAACCATAATGAGTCACATCAATAAACACTCAGGACAGACAAGATATCCATCCACTCCCACAAAGACGTTTCTTTTATATTCAGAGATTTCTTTTGAAAACGTGCAAAAACATGCAGCCTACATTTAAGTGTGCACAGCTTTATTCTTGCAGGGTTTTGTTAAATTAAATCTGTTTTTATTCTTTTCTATGAAGCCAGTAGGTAAAAGACCATTTGTATTAAGGAAGAACTAAAGAAATAGATCATATTTGCTTCAGTTGTTAACACAGCACCTGAATAGAAAAACATGTTATTTTTTTCTTCTCTTTTTCTTTTGCAACTGACTGAAAAATCAAAGAATGTTCATCAATTTTCTCTTACCCTGGAGGTATTGACATTAACAGAAAATAAAAAAACAAGTTAAGTATGCATGGCTACTACTGAAAAACTGCACAAAATATTTAATTTGTTTTTTGTAATTTTCATATGTGACTGAGAAAAAACAGACAAGTAAAGTAAGTAAGCAAATAAAAACTCTGAATGGTTCAGACCTCTCCTTGAAAGCTTAACTAAATCCACAAAGTCCAATGCTCATCCATTCTCTTAATCTTATCAACAAACCTTGGCTTTCTGTTTGCTTTAACCACAAAAAAAACAAAAAACCCTAGAGATTAATCAGGACATTCTGAAGATTATCCTGAATTTGAATTTTAAATGAAAGACTTTAAGTAATAACATTCATACTTGGTTGTTTTACAAGACACACTCATAAAAGAAGCCAACTCAGTTTATTCATATAGTGCCACTATCCAAGAAAAGTCTTTTCTCAAAGCATTTTTTATTTAATTACGCAGATGACAGTTCCACCTTTCTGTTCAAATCCAAACAATATAAAAAAATGTTTAAAAAGGCACTCGAAAGAAAAGTCAATTCAGTCAAATCATACAAATTTTAAGTCAAGTTCTTACATTCAAATGGAACCTGCATTTAGAAAAAAATATGTTTGTCATTCCAATTCCAATATAAAAAAAAAGATTTGCACAGTCAATTATCATTAAATGACTTCTGCATATTTGTTGTTACTTACAATTTAAGCAATTGTCCATTTTATCAGGTTACATCATTGTATATTATGCAAATATTATGAAATCCTTTCTTTTTTTATTTGCCAATGATATCACTATCAGTCACGACATGGCATGGTGGTATTCAATTCCATTCAAAAGTACTTTATTATCCAAAAGGGAAATTAAATGTTGCAGTAACTAGTAGGGTTTTTAGCTTTTTTTTGTTTTTCATTGAGTTGTTGTAGGTGTTGATAGCTGTGGGTAGAAGGGATCCTCTGTAGCGGTTTGTCTTGCACCAAATCTGAAGAAGCCTCTTATTAAAGACACTCTGTTGGTGTTTAACAATCTGAAGAAGAGGATGCTCACTGTTGTCCATAATGTTCTTTGCTTTAAGAAGAATTATTCTTTGTGAAATTATCTCAAAGGTTTTAGAGTAGTTCCTACGACAGTAGAGTAGTTCCTAGTTCCTAGTTCC